ATGACTTCACCAATAGATACCACTGGTAAAATACAAATTACGAATCGTAACAAGTCGTCTATATTGGACAAATCTCTCAAAAGATAAATTGAATGTTCATTTAAGAAAACACACTGGAGAGAAAACATTTCAATGTTCTTACTGCAAAAAGAAATTTTCAAAAAAGCACACTTTAAGTCGACATTTAAGATTGCATACTAGAGAAAATCTCTTTGAATGTTCTTATTGCAAAAAGAAGGCTAATTTGATCTGTCACTTACCATTGCACACTGGAGAAAAGGCCTTTGAATGTCCTCACTGAAAAAAGAAATTTGCACGAAAGAGTACTTTACAAATTCATTTGAAAACTTACAAGGACAGCACACTGTGATTAAGATATTGAAAACCATGACCTTCCTTCAAAAAGATACTGCTTTAGATGTAGTTTATTGCAAAGTGAAAATGACATTAATATTATTTACTAAATTTATAACTCAGTAAAGTTTGAATTTTTATTTATTGTGCTGTGGTTAACCGTGAGTCGTGAAAACGAGAAAAAATTTGCCGTGAGTCGTGAATATTTTTTTTATAGCGTGAGACGTGATTCAGTTTTGTTCCTCAGAAGAACAGTCAACTTGTCAACTTGCTTGTAGTTCTTTTTATTCTTTAAATCAGTGCAAAAGAACGATTTCAAAGAAAAACACTTTAGAACTCACACTGGGGAGAAACCATATCAATGTTCATACTGCAGAAAGAAATTCTCACAACTTTCAAATATGATAAGACTTATGTCACCAAAGATTACATACTGGAGAGAGGCCCTTTGAATGTTCTAATACTGCAAAGTGAAATTTTGGACGTTTATTTATTTTCACAAGAATTTATTACTAGGAGCATCCATGGTGTGTATTGGGTTTGTTGACAGGATTTCATAGATGTGTCTATTGTAGAATTCTTTCGCAATCACTTCCGGTGTTACGCTCTCGCTCATTGAAATCCGTGAACCAAAATAAAGAAACATGGCAAATATCAGTCAAATCGAATTTTCTTCTTTTTTTTCTGGAATAAGTGATTAAATGAGGTCTGTGATTAATTAAGGGTGTACTGACTGACATATCCGTTGCTAGGGAAATTCAGTAGTTGTCTAAAATGACAAACAAAAGTAAAATCGCTTTCGTATTGAGTGTTAAGCCTTCCCAAACAAAAATAGCACATCCTATGACGTCATTGTATGACTTCATCGCGTGACGTCATTAATACGAAAAAATGCTATAATTTCATCAAGCAAAGTATATTATTATACGATTTAAAATCTATGAAATTAATCTTTAGATTTAAGTCCGTAAAGCCAAGCATKCGTTTTTAGAATGATTGCCAAATAAGCTTTTTACGATTTTTTAAAAATGCCACAAATAAGCGAAAAATGCCAATAACTTTCGTATTTTTTAATTTTTCGCCAAACCCATGCTTGGTTCTGAAGAGGAGGCTGTGAAGAACAGAAGTATTGAAAAAAACACGTCCATTTGATGTTTTGCACCGAAGATTATATTTTTTGAATGATACCATACATTTTATGTAAACAAAAACCTTTCAACCGGAAGTAAAAATTTTCCCGCCACGAAAACGCGCGCGCGCCCGCTTCTCCGATTGGCTAGCATCGGCTAGCATAGACGCACAAACATCACACTTAGCCTTTTTTAAAAAACACTTGAATTATTATAATATTTGATGAAATTATATATTAAAGAATATATTTTTAACAATTTAAGCACGAGACATTAATTTACCTTATCTAAAAAAGTATGATTTCAAATTTTCAAATAGATGAGCTTTTCTGACACGTTTTCTGCATGTAGTAGTACTCTAGACCTTATTGTAAGGTACAGAAAGCTGGATAGCACGTACCGTACATGAAGAGAATAGACTAACAGCATTGCACACCAGATGTCTTCTATCACCACAAGAATAAAATGTACTCAGTTGAGCCACTCACTTCCTATATAAACACGCACCATTGTACAAAGGACATTTTTATGTTTTATGCATTTTTTCTGTTTTTATTTTAAATATGAGGTGAAAATAAAAAAAAAATCTTTTGATTTTCCTACTTTATTGGAGACATTTAGACATCTTGCTTGTTTTAGTATTCCCATTTCAAAGCCTTAGGAATTTACTTTTATATATTCTTATATAAAAAGGAATCAATCAAAAAGACTAAAGAAGATCACCGAGGCTGAACGCTCTCTTTTGTCCTGTTTTAATTTTATTCTTGACTAAAATCAGATGTTCTATTTTCTAGGTGTAGTGTCCGACGAAACGCCATAGGAAATAAAAAAAAGTTTACAGACATGTTTTCAAAGAGTTATCCTTATATAATACTGCTCACTAGCAATAGTAATAGTAGAAAACAATACTTATACTCGTATGTACTTTAATGTCAAAACCTAAACCTCGTGTGTAAATATAAAATAATGAGAGTTCATTTGCACTTTTTCCCGCCAAATCAGASATTTTGCAACGTAATTGGTCGAAATTACAGTCCAGAATCCATTTCGGTCTGACTGTCGAGTAACGCCTGGTAGAAGTTGGTATTTTGCGTGTTGGTCTGATGAGTTTGGCGTGTTATTGTGTGATCTATTTCTAGGGGTTTATTATTCCTTTTACAAACAAGATGGATACTAAATGGATAGAATGCAAGTGTAAATCAGGACAGACTCTGTATTACTACAACAAAGTGACAGGACAACGCAAGTGGCCTTGTGTAAGTTTTAACTTTAAAAAGTCAGACGACTATGTAGATTTTCACTCTCTTTGCTTGAATGATTGCATGTTATTTAGTTGACACAATTGGATTTTTGCCCGTTCGATTCTTCCTTTAGAGTGCTTACAGTATGTCCATGAAATAAAATCTATTTAGCTATTGTCTTATAGTTATTATTT